AAAATAAATGAACAAATAAAATTAACCTAATCCTCCTCCCCCACCAAAAAAAAACCCCACACAAACAAAAGAAAAGAAAGTGATGCTGTTTTAAAGAGTGAACAGGTTTTCAGTGGCACAAGCATATCGAAGCCCGCCCTTCAGAGGAAGTGCCTGTCCTCATCCTAGCGAAGCGAGGAATATGACAATTTGTGTGATTTGCGTAATAATTTCCCTCTGTCATTAGCTGACACTGAGGCTTAGTGGGGATGCTGGGAAATTCTTAAGTCATTCACCATTCATTGTTAGTTGTCCACTCAGCCTTTCCTTGCGTCTCTTTTGAGCATCTCTAATCTGAGATTCGATGAAGGTCATTTATGGTCTAAATGATACTCCACCAAGTCACCAAAGTTAAAGCGAACACGTGTTAATAAGGAGAGTGTTGGTTGGTTCAAAGCATCGCGCTGGTGAAAGGTGACACTATCTCAGCCTACCTTTCTTTCCCAAGAAATATTTAAAGGAACTTCGTCTGGAGCCCTGAAAAAAATAAAACACGTTATTTTCCAATCTAATATTCTGTATTTTTTACTTTATGGAAGCTGGAGATTGTTACCAGGCTACTGTAAGAAAGTAAAATCCTTTCCTATAAGGTCAGTTCATACTTAGATTGGATGGACAGGCAGGAGACAATGGGCAAGTATTTATACAGAGAATGTCTTCTTGTTTCTTGTTTAAAAATTTTCTGTAAAATTCAGTGCACCCCAGATCCCCCTTTGCATATGGTGAGAGTAGAGGTACAGCCACCTTAAATTGCCTTAAAATCTCCCCCGTTCCCTGAGGAAACCAGGAACTTGCTTCAGATGCGCAGGCGACGGGGAGACTTCATTTTGCCCTGTTTGCACTCACATTCACGTTACCAAGCCCCTCAGAGCTTTTATGAAACCAGCCTGAGGGGGTCACAGCGGGCCCTGCTAGACCACAGGGCAGCGTGCGGCCCGGTCTGCCCAACGCGACCGCGCGTTGCTCAGCAAAACGCGAAAACACAGCGACTTGTCACGAGGGCACGTGCGTCCGAACCGGGCTTCGAGTTCACTGCAGCATCTCAAGGCGGCCGCTGCTGATGGCAGGTTCCCCGTCAGCGGGAACATCCCTGCTACGACCCTCCGTGTTGAGTCACCTCTTCCCTTCTGATGTAAAATGACCACATCTTCGTCTTGATCACTTGGCTCTTTCCTTTGGTGCAGATGGGTGGAGAGAGAGTGGACTTCTTGCCATGTTGCCAAAAGGCTGAAATGTTTTCTGCCGTGAATACACCGACTTAGCGAGCAGGAGACCTGTGTGTAAGGCGTTCGCTGGTCTTGGTTGTGGTCCTCGAGTTATAATAGTACAGAGGGTGTTTCTAAGAAGAAAAGGCATGCACTCCACCTCCGTAGGGCGCTGTGAATACTGTCACTGAGCATCTGAGCTTTCTGGCTTTTTATTTTCCTCTTCGGAAAAGACCCATTTCCTTGAGAGGGTGGAGGTGACATTGATAAGGTTTGACCTGTAAATGGAAGAAAAGCAAACACTGTCATCTACCTTGTCCCACGGTGATTTTTGCCTACTTATCCAACAACCGTACCTTTTATACTAGAACAGATTATTGAAATATCTGAACCCTGGATAAAGAATATCATTGTACTGAGTCTTCACCATCCCTTGAGAAGCAAAACAGGAGTGTCTGTCTGCCAGAGCGGGAAATGGGTGCTAACGTTCATTTCAGCAGTTCCAGACCAGAACGTAGTTTCTTTACGATGGATTGAAGTACATACTAAATTAACCCACATTATTTTGAATTTTGGGAGGAGGAATTTAGGCTACACCTAGTTATACCTTAGAGGGGTTTAAAAAAATCAAATCCTATGCGTCTAGTGACATTTAAATATGTTTTCCAGCATGTATAGAATCTTCCTGATGGCGGAGGCTCTTCTTTGAATGGCTTTTGTGACAATCTTTATAAAAGCCAGGAAGAGATTTAATAGGTTTTTCCCAGTCTTTTGTTACAGTTATTCAGAATATTTAAAGAGTAAATATCCAGATGTATTTCGAGTGAATCAGATTTCATTATCACTTAGGCTGAAGCAAGGAGAGAAGTCACATCTTTACTTTTGGGTGAGCCATGTTCAGCTCTGTGGAAATGAGTTTTTGGTTCCCTTTTTCATAAGCAATGACTATTTCTTTATGTGTTTTCTTTATTTCACATTTTGGGGGCACTTATTCACGGTCATATTTTATGAACAGCAAGATGTAATGTTTAGCGAGAAGGAGGTGTGCGTGAAAAAGGATTCCCAAACTAAGAGGCTTTTCACTGAAAAAGATGTTTGTTCATCTGTTAACTTTTACTTTGCCCAGATCGGTGAAACTTGCTCCCCTGAAAACGTATGCTGTAAAACTCTGTTGAGCAAGCGGGTTTGTAAAGAGCGGGTGAACCAGTGTGCACTTAAATTCATCAGATTTGGGGCGTGGTGTTTCTGGTTCACACACAGACCCTTCAGGAGGCTCTGAATGAGAGGCTGTCTTTTTGAAAATAAACACACGAGTTCCTGTCACTTGAAATACAGGAATCTGGAAAGAAGAGAGAAATTTCTGAGGAGCTGAGTAATCGTAAGACTGAAAACCAGTAATGCAGTGACCCTGGCTCTCGATTAAGGAGATGTGACCAATGAAGCAAAAGCTTTGTTTTGAAGGAAATCGGAGCCTTCTCTTACTATTGCTAATGAGAGGAGTGATTTTTCTCAAAATGTGCCAAGTGTCCCCATCTCTGCAGAGTTATCAGAGTTGCCATCTTTCTTTTCCCTTTGAATTCTCCCTTCCTTAAATATTTGAGAATGTGAATTCAGCTTGACAGACTGGAACTTCTTCTCCACTCTCATCAAACCCCATCACAAGTAAATCTTGCATCACAAGACTTTTCTTAAGATCCTAAAGTGTTATGTTGAAGAGGGATGAATGAACTCAGGCCCAACTGGAGTCATGTTGCTTGGACCAAGCTTTGTTATGAGCGGATTGTGACACCAGTGTTTGTTTTTTCACTCTGTATTTCTTTTTGACTCAGGATCCATTTTGATTTTTCTCAACTCTTAACCACTGACAGCGAAGAGACCATTTTCCCAGGATTCTTGTTTCTCCGTCTCCGCCTGACTTTCTCTGCCCTGCCACGTGCTCCCGTGTGGACATAAATCCCTGCTTTGGTGGGTAGGAAGTTACTGGCAGGCTACTCAGATTTCCTTATTGATGTCGGGGAGGAAGAACATTTTTCCTACCCTCTTAGGTTCTTGCCTGGGAGCGTGCAAATTAAACTGACAAGACAGATTAACAAAAAAAAAAAAGATCATGTATTTACTGGTGCAATGCACGTATTGCATGATGAGTAACTCAAAGGGACAGTTAGGGTTTGGAGCTTATTCTAAGTTATAGCTAACTTAGTGGGGGGCAGTGAGTATGGGGAAAAAGCCCCTTGGGGAAGAATAAATAGGTTTCTTTGGGAAAGACATGGGTTTTTAGGCAAAAAAACTGGGAGATAAGAAGGTCTGTGATAGTTTGTGCAGGCGCCAGGGGTCTTTCTATCTTCTTGAAGGCCATGAAACTCCTCAAAGGGGGTTTATGGTAGGTTTACCCCTGGGACTAGAAGCTGCCTCAAAGGGGGAAGGTATGGTGGTCCTCATTTCCCACAGGTTTCTGCTTTTAGTCAGATAAGGGAATCTCCAGGAAGGCTGCTTTCTGCATCTGCTGAATCTTAAACACCTTTCTCTGCACTCTGGGGCAGGGGGCTTGGAGTGGATCCCCACATGGACCACAGGTCGCTGATCCCGCCGGGCCCCTCGGCTGGGCTCTGCCTCCTTTTCCTCTTTCAAAGTGTGCGTGTCAGCCTAGCATCACCTTCCAAGAGTACCTCCTCACTCCCAGACTTCTCTGGAACCTTCTAGCAAGGCAACGAGCTAAGGGAGGAGGGGGAAGAGGTCTCATAAAAAAAAAATGGGGTCAGAGCTCTTCCTTGAGGAGCTGTTCTCACCACTGTCTTCCTCCAGCCCTCTCCTCCCGCGCCGGCTCCATTGCCTTTGCTCTTCCTCGGTTCCACCCAGTGATCTTTCACTTGTTCCCTCCCTCCTTCCTTCTCGGAGGATTTCTGATGCCAAGGAGTTTTGGCTGCATCTGGCTTGACTGTCTCCTTCAACGGTTTCCTCTTTTTCATCCCAGAACTTGTAACACGTGCTCTTAGAAACCGTATCTTTGGGTTGACGACAGCCTTGCCGGGCATTTTGTGAACATGGACGATGTGGCCAAGTGCTTTTTCCCCCTGGACTCAGGCGGGCAGGATGAAGTGAGAGGCTCTAGCTCCCGCTTCCGAGCTGTTCTCACATATCCCGACCACGGAAGTATGTCTTTGGCTTATGGTCTTAAGCCTTTTACGGCAGGAAAAGCTCCAGAACAGATTCTTCATTTCACTTAATGGTAAAGGGAAGCGAGGTGCCCAGGTTGGTAACTTTGCAGCCTCACCCAGATGCTGTGTGCACCTGCTGCGGGTGACAGCGGATGGCGGTCGGGTGGGGCTGCCGGCACCTGTCCACTCTGTCTAGGAAGCTCGTATCAGGATCCCCTGGTGTGGAGTCTGCGAGAAAGTAGGGAGGGAGGAGGAGAGGAGTCTGTTACTCTCAAACCAAGTTGTAATTCTGCTTCCGTAAACTTAGATCGGCTTTTCCTGATGGGGCTGAGTGACAGTGAAGGTTTTGCTGAAACACTTGCTTCCACTGAATCAGCCCATCCTTGTCCCATTTTCCACAAGCATTGGCTCCTTTTTCCTTACATCCCTCTCACGTGTTTCGGGAAGAGGTCCCTTTGGAATTTGGAGGTGTGGGATCGGCACTCTGTCTTGGGGGCCCCGCTTCCACACTCTGACCTGGTTTTCACATTTCTGATTTTTTACCTTCCATCGTATTTTTTCACGGGACTTTAAGAATCTTGACATTGTGCTCTTTAGAAGAGAGAGTTCTAGGACCATGAAGATCATAGAGGAAAACACTGCAGGGAAAAACGCACTACTCGACTATTTGTATCTTTTATTTCCCAAAATAGCAGAGAGAGGCCGTGTTCAGAGTTGTGCTGTTTTCCTTACACGGCAGCGGAGGCAGTCAGATGACCCCGGAGCGAACGGCAGAGCAGGGCTGTGTGCCCACCTCTGGGGTCCTCAGAGGTCCTGGGGACGTCAGCGGTCGTTCAAGGCTGTGGGCTTATCTGCGAAGAATTGTGTTTTCATTCTTTCTGTCCAGAGTCGAGCTTTGCACTTCAGAGAAATGACGAGTGAGGGACACGGGGTCACTGGAGTGTGAAAGACAGTGAGTGAACACAAAGTCCACCTTTTTCAAGTTAGAGTGACTTTTTTTTGCCATTGATACTTTATAAAAATGACTTATTAGGGGCAAAATATTTTCCTAGTCTTCAGAAGGACAGACAAAAAACAAGTTGAGATAAACTCAGGAGCTATCCATCACATTTATTTCTCTCGCCTCATCCTTCTCAGTGAACCAGATCTACGTTCTGAACGTAAAATTTAATCTGCAAATTGCAGAAGTGATGGTCTCTGCTGCTACACTCCTCTCTGCGTTAACTGCCTGGTGTCCCCATTGTGTTTTGTGGTTGACTGCTGGACACCTGAATCCAGATGGAACCTGACTTAATGGTCATTCAACTTACGATTTTTCAACTTTATGATGGTAGGAAAGCAGCATGCATCCAGTAGAAACTGTGCTTTGAAATTTGAATTTGGAGCTTTCCCTGGGCCGACATGCGGTCCCCACTGTCTCTTGTGATGCTGGGCGGTGGCTGCAGCTCCCCACCAGCGACAGAATCACGAGGGTGAACAACCAGTACACTCACCACTATTCAGGACCCGGAGCGCCTTTCTGTGTTTCACAATCAGTGTGGTACTCCATACACTAGCTGAGCTGTTGAGCACTTTATTATAAAGCAGACTCTGTTGGGTGATTCTGCCCAGCCGTAGACTAATGGGGTCGTCTCCAGCATGTTTGGGGGAGGCTCGGCTAAGCTGTGACGTTCGGTAGGTTAGGTGTGTTAACGTGCGTTTTCAGCTTAGAGTATTTCAACCTAAGACGGGTTTATTAGGGCGTAACCCCCATCATCAGTCGAAAAAAGTCTGTAAACGAGTGTGTGAACGGGCGGACTGGCGCTGGTGGTGCGGGAACTGACGAGGCCAGCTTTCTGGGGCGGTTCTTTCTCTTGATTTTGCTTAGTTTGTTCCCAAAAACTAACGCAAGTGTTCTTTGCCAGAGCCACCACTGTGTGCGGTTTTTCTGCAAAATAAATTATCATTCAGGATTTTAACTTGAAGATTAGGGTGCATGTCCAGGGCATCATTTAATGAGGCCAGCTGCTTTGAAGTGTTCTCATCCCGGTGGCCTCTGTGGGATGTGAACTAAATAAAGACCTACGATGTGTTGCCAGCTGAGAAATATAATATAATTATAATTATTATATAATTATTTTTCATCAATGGTAGCTTTAAAAACTGTATTGAAAGGAGACTCAACCCCATTACCAAGAGCTCACCTTTTCCGGCTGCGTGATTTACGTCACGATCGCCGCGAGTGTTTGGAGGAGGCCTGCGGTACCTGTTTTTAAAACAAGAATCCCTCCCACCTGCGTTCCAGGAGATCTGGTTTCTAGTTTCATGTTGGTGATGTGACCGCATGTGGGTTCCCTTGGGTGGGAGAAGGGATTGTTCCCCATGTGTGATGAGCAGCACGTGACAACGTCTAGGTTCCAGAAGCTTTCGAGAGTCGGTGTTAAATTACAAACACTGCAGTGAGACCACGCCGAGTGGAAATCTTTATTTCAGGATTCTGATTCAGTAGTGTCCTCACAGATACTGCCCACAATACCGGGCATTTCTTAAAGATATGTTTGTGTGGTCATGAGGCATGATCAAACCCAGTGCTGTGGAAACCTCACACAGCTTGCTTTGTGGTTAGACTGTCCACGGGCGGCGTTGGGGGCTGCCGGACAGAAGAGGTCTGAGTAAGCTGGGGGTCTTGACGTCTCCCCTCCTTCCTTATTTCTAGGTACAGAGGCAAAACATACAGGGCCGTGGCCAAGATCGTGCGGACATCCGACCAGGTGGCCGACTTCTGCCGCCGGGTCTGTGCCAAGCTCGAATGCTGCCCAAACTTGTTCAGTCCTGTGCTGGTTTCTGAAAACTGCCCGGAGAACTGTTCCATTCACACCAAAACCAAATACAGTAAGTGCGAATCACGAAAGGATCACTGGTCTGTGGGCCTGCACTGTGGGGCGATGTCCTCTGTGGGCTGGTTCTTTCTTTCTTTTTTTTTTTTCTTTCCCTTAGACTGCAGGGTGATGTCGTTGGGGAGCTGGGTGTTTTTCTTTTTTTTCCCTTTTTTTAACATTCTGAATAGCTTTTCATTGGCATTGCTGTGGAAGGATTCTCTAAGATTCACTTGGGAGATGCTGTGTGTTGCTCTCTTAGTCCAAGGAAGGGAGGAGCATGGTTAAAAACAGGCCGCCGTATAGCTCACAAAGGTGTACGTCTGTTATGGAAGAGTCCTCGTCACCCTCCTGGGAGGGGCGGGTGGCCTTCGTGACTTGTGACTTTGTGACTTGAAGCCATGTCCTGTCTCCGGTTGGGCCGGAACCGCGCTTCTGGCTGAGCTGCTTCGTGGTCTCTCTAGGTATTCGGGGACTGATGGGTGAGCGTTGGTCCCCACCCAGGAGCCCCATGGGGCGTCTCGATGGTTCTAAGTGCCACCCTTGGGGAGGTGCTGGAAATGGAGGATTTTAGTTCTGAAGGAATCCTACACTAGCTGAGCATTTTGCATGAGAGGAAGCTGAGGTCCAGAGGCGGGCTGGGGGATGACTCACCTCTAACGTACAGCAGCGGGGGACGCATGGAAAGCGCACCTCACTGCAGGGTGGGGGCGGCCACCCCTCACGCGGTGTTCTCCTCTGGATCCCTCCAGCCGTAGGTGAAGGTCCCTCTGGGGCGCTTCCGTGGACTAGTGGGAATTGCCTGTGGGACAGCTGAGACCGGCTGACGAGAGGACGCGTCTTCATAACTGACAGCTGGGTCCGTAGTAGGGTTTAGTTAGTTGATCATACATCCAGTTTATAAAGGGTGTCAGTCAATGCTGAAAGTCGGTAAGTGATTTTTCTCACTAGCGCGTTAAGTGTTAACACAGGCGTGCATCTCGGCTATTGAATTCAGAAGCAGCGTAAGTCTCCACTGAACGATGAAAGAGTAAAGCGTGTAGCTGCGTAGTCGGTGGGGAACACTGTTTGAAAAAGAGGCCTCCTTATTTTGGCCCCTGCGCTCACAGTCGCCACTGGTCTTGGTCATATGGAGGGATGGGGGACTCCCTGGTGACAGGGACCCTCCTGTGGCTGGTCACTATGCTCGTTGACTCTTCACGACTCAGACTTGGGAGCAGTTGTCTGAGCACCTCTGGTGGGCAGGGTGGCCTCCGCCAGGTGCAGGACTGGGGACAGGGAACAGGGGCGGAGAGGAGTCCTATGATAACCGTAGGCACGTTTGGCTTCCCCGCTGTCTCGGTCGGCTCTGGCCGCGTAACAAAGCACCACAGATGGAGTTAATCCACAGACATTTGTTTCTCACAGTCTGGAGGTTGGAAGCCCCCAATCGAGGTGTCAGCAGGGTTGGTGTCTCCCAAGGTCTTTCTCCTCTGCTTGTGGTCGGCCACCTTCTCTCCTAGTCCCCACAGGGTCTTCCCTCTGCACCCCCGCATTCTCTTCCTGATCTTCTCAGGATCTCAGTCCTGTCGGAGCAGGGCCTCACCCTCATGACACCATTAACCATCATCACCTCCCTGAAGGCCCACCTCCAAACACTGTCACCCCGGGGTTAGGACTTCCGCACTTGAATTAGGATTGAGGAGGGGTTCTGTCCGTAACACCTTCTAAACACACGGGCATTGGAGAAATGTTTCTTCTCTGTGGAGCTGTTTTCTCAGAATTGTCCCCTGGGGTACAAATGAGATGTCAGGTTTCTACTGTCTCAAGTGAAGAGTGATCTCTCTCCCTCCCCTTCATCGTTCCTTCCCCGCCCCCGCATCTCACTGCCCCATCCACGTGGGTACCTGCATGTAGCCTCTTCACAAGGCTCTCATCATCTCTCTCCTTGTAGCTTATTACTATGGCAAGAGGAAGAAGATTGTTAAGCCCCCGATTGGGGAGAGCAGCGTTGAGAGCGGGCACCCAAAGCCAGCCAGACGCAGGAAACGGCGAAAATCCATTTTTGTGCAGAAGAAACGGAGGTCCTCTGCTGTGGACTTCGCGGCGGGCTCCGGCGAGGTGCGTTCCGCTCAGCAGCTTCTGACGTTGGATTGGGAAGCAGGGCCCTGGCTGAAGCCTGAGGCCAGGTGGTTAGACATGTGAGCTACCAGGACCCCCTCCTTAGCTGACCACACGTTTGACCTTGTAGTATCTCTGGCTGGGAAGGGGCTGCGATTGGGACCGTGGTCGGGACGGTGGGGTCCGTCTTCCCAGGCCTCCTTGGACACATCTCACCAAGAGGCCCTGCGCAGGCGCCTGGGCAGGACAGGACGTGGGGGCGAGCCCAGCCCTGCGCCCCCGACTGCGTTCTCGAAGGCGCTGCCCCCCGCCCCCCTCAGCACATCTCTCGTCTTCCTAGGAGAGTGAAGAGGAGGACGCAGACGCCGTGGACGATGACACCGGGAGTGAGGAGACCGGCTCCGAGCTCCGGGACGACCAGACAGACACGTCCTTGGCCGAGGTGCCCTCCGCGCGCCCCCGGAGGGCCGTCACCCTGCGGAGCCGGCCCCGAGCCTGAGCG